CAAAAGACAACCGGATGCGAGTTTATTGCCGGTATTAAGGCGCTAAACTGTTACGAGACGGGGTCGGCACGTTTGACTCGCTCTGTGGCACGAAACAGTCCGGGGTCGTTCTAGCAACATGCCCCCGGTAATCGCTTAATGAGTCTAAATTCGGAATTATTAATGCTAACGACGTCCACGGCGATTAATTGTAATCGTTAGAATCAGTTGAATGCTCATACGGAGCTGCTCAATAATCACTCCCGTTTTTAATTCAAACAGATCATTACGCCACGAAATTGTTATAGATAATTGAGTGATATCCACTGTTTGGTATTACGCACAGTTTATTAGTGACCGCAATAACCGCTGTCATCGTAGCTGGATCTAAGGAAGTCTGAGAATTGAGTCTGTTTTCACTAAGCGTCGACCACAATATCCTGGACATCATATTGCACTTGACATAACTGTTACAAAACCGTAGTAAATACTGTGAATTTATATCATTTAAGCTGATGACATTTTCTTGATTCTTGAAACCTAAAGTCGTATAGTTAGCTAAATTCTAAATTCACAGAGGGCTTTCTGTTCAAGCTATGTGCGCGAAAATAAAAAAAGACTCGTGTAAGTAAAATCGTGCTTTTTGTTATCAAAAGTTCATTGTAATAGATAACCTTCATATTAATAAATTATGCGAACTTATAAAGTAATGTATTTACTAAAAAGTTTTGTTTAAATACAAAAATTACATTGTCTTATAAAATACAAATTTTGAACAACAGTGTAAAACATTATACCGAAAGTTTTGCAAGGTTTAAATAAATATATATATATATATATATATATAAGGAATTATAAATCCAAGCTCTTCTTCTATTCAAGTTATGTATTAATAATCTCAAGGTTGTTTCTTTTTCTTTAATCCCGAAGTAAGCCAAGAAACAAATTTTATTTACTTTATAGGTGAATGGTCTGTTTTGTAATCACCTTCGAATATTTAATTCAATGTGTTACAAATGTAAGTACATCTTTTATTTAATATATCTTCTTGTTATATCATTCCTAAAGTCCACTTAATCAGATAAAGTGATTAGGTAATTTTTAGTATAGATAGGTAAAAGCAAAAGCGTTTAGCACATTGATTTGTGATAAAACAGTTAAGCTTAGGTTGACGAAGATAGAGATTGCATCTACCTATTCCTCTGACCTTATAGCTTTGGCTTCTTGTAGTATATAGTAAGTTGGAAGAGGTGTAATCTTCAGTAGCCTTAGAACTGTTCTTGCTCAAATGATTAATTAATCTCTTTTAGTGACAAACATATGATTAGAGAAAAATTGATCGCGTTTTAATTAACCGCCCACCTCGTCACAGATAATGTCGACATCGTCCGATACTTACAGTCCAATTTATCATTACTTCTTCGTCGTTCATCTTGACGCCTCTTAATTTTTAAATGTCAAAAAGACCTTGTTATAAATTGATGTACGCCCGTGACTCATTACAAGGACGAACAAAGGACGGTCGATGTTACAATAATTAATATAATTAAACAGCGAACAATAGCGTTAGTCATTACACCCGGCGAGAGGAAGTTCAAATGATTGTTCGCAACTTCACAACGATCGTGCGTAGGAGAGGCCGAAGATAAAATCAATTGACCGTCGCGTATTCAATTAACCGCGATAGCACATATTCCCCAAGGAGATGCGGTTGCTTTGAGCCGGCGACGAGGCATCACATTACAGCGCGCAGAAACTTCTACAAGCATACCTTCTTTTATCAATACAATCGTCACACTGTGCCTGTAGGTGATTAGTTGTTATAATTATGTCGTATTCGCGCAAAACATTTACTAAAATCCATTGTATCATCTTAAAACCTATTAAAATTTCGAATCTTATTTTAAAAACATAACCATGTTGTAATGGTTGCAATTTGTACGAAGGAAAAAATGAAAATTTAAAAAACGAACTGGTAAAAATTCGGTGCACCTGCTTCTGTTTTCAATTTTATCTTTTTTTTCATAAGGTGAAGATATATAATTCTTAAGTCAGTAGTATTCTATTTTTGCAAAAGTCGATATGCAGGTACATGCATGCATTACCTACAGTTTAAGAGATGCACTACCCCCTGGATATATAGATTTTCATGTTGGTTCCTCTGTAATTACCGGCCGTCGCAACAGCCGTCGCGGGGCACCCTGACATTTTCATTTTTTATCGGATAGATGTCAATGTTGGCCACATTTGGCTTGATGTGATAGGGTGTGAGCGCCGAATCTAAACGTTGTTTGGCCTAAACCTCGTTTAAAGCCTAAACTGCGTTTAGCGTTTTCATTGTGCTTGTTGCTTTTCGAACACGTTAAAATTCTATTATTATCGAGCAAAACTGGGTGGGTTATAAATATTTACTGAATGGTCAGTTCCCTTTTTAGTGTAAAAAAAAATAAAACAACTTGGAGTTTATACATCATTTTATAGGTAAATTTTTACTTTTTGTATTGTTTATTAATATCAAAACCGAACGAAAAATTAATTCTTGAGTTATTTCTTATTTTTATTGTTAATATAAATGTTACAGACTAGTAGACGTGCCAAACGTTTAAACATCGTGCAAAAATATATTAAGGCACGATTCATCGTAATAAAGCACATTTGCTCGGGGAAATATTTAGGTCTAAGAATAATGACGCCCTCTCCCGAGGAACGTGGATTTATTTAAAATTGTTTGCATATATCACAGTAAATTACGATTGTGTGCGCTAAAGGAGGGGTTCTTACTCGGTCACGGGTGATTAACGCTGGAGTTTTTCTACAGAGGGCCTAATTACGCGCCGAAAATACCGAGAACTCGGCGAAGAAGCGGCTGCGGGTAATGGCGGCGTTTTTTATGATAATTACATTAGTGGCTGTATTACACATGAAACTATGCGACTATTCGCTCGGTCGCGGGGCTGGCTGCTCTGTGTAGTTTATTTGCGTGTGTCGCGAGTCGCTGCGGGCGTTCACACGAACCCAGTGTTGCCAGCTAATTCCCCGCCGCATTACCCCGAGCGGGCTGGAAAATTGCGCGGCGTTTTAAAAATTTCACTCGAAATGGCAAAGTGTGCTTGTTATAATAATTAGTGTTCATTCCTTTTACGCGTACTAATTATTTTCAAGCCAAGCAGTTTGCTTAATTTAAATTTCTATCGGTAGTCATACGAAACTATAATGTTGATGAGGATAAAACTTCGCATTAATGATTCGATGCATTTGCGTAAACTAATTGATTTGTAACAACCTGTTCAAATAGGATTATAAAAAATCAAGTCTTTTCTTTCTTACTTTCAATAAAAGATATACATTTGTAAACGGTATAGCTACGTGAATGCTCCGATTTAAAACTCGGTTGCCTTGCGCTTATTGACTAATAATAATAAATAAACAATGCGTAAAAAATATAGAAAATGAAATATTTCTATCTATACACATGTATTGTATTTATTTAAAATGGTATAAAATATAGATATGGCAACTTTCTACGCGTATCCGTCGTATGCTCGTTGGTCGCGCCAACACTGCCCGAGCTATTTCCGCACAAATACCGATCGTGTGCTGATAATATTCGCGTTGCCCGCAGTACTCTCATGCACGTCAATAAAGAGATTTTCGAACGTTAACCATAGATTGGTACATGAATTTTTTTTGTTAGTTAATTATAGACTATCCTTACTAATTTTATAAAGGCGAATGTTTCTATGTATGGATGTTTGTTACTCTTTCACGCAAATACTACTGAATGGATTTTAATGAAACCTTACAATAATATAATTTATACATCAGATTAAGACATAGGCTATAATTTTTGTACATATTTTATGTATATTTGTCTTTCTGTTACGCCTTCAGTCGCGGGTAGACGTAGGTAGGGTAAGGGTAGCAGCTAGACTAGCGGACCCGACAGACGTCTTGTTTAATAAATATATAATTAATTAAAAAAAATATATAGTGGACCGATTGGTGCATCTATACCATTCTCCAATCCACTTGAAAACCATATAATAATTTCATCAAAATCACGCACTTAAGAATTATATAGATAAACATTATTAATTAAATACCATCTCTAGTCTAAATTATTTTTTCTTGGAACAATTCAAGACCTACTGTAATCTACTCTAAAATGTATCGTGTAAAAACTACGGTCGAATGTAAAAGAAAAGTATGTTAAGTGTTTAGTTGGGTACTAATTTTTTGATGCAAATTGCTAGAATGGTCGTGATGTCTGCTGAATTTTACATTTTAGTTAAAGTAACTTGTAAGAATAGTTTGAATAGAGGCAAAGGGAAATGAATATTTAATATCCTTTCTCAGTGCATCTCCGCAGCGCAAATAGCGTATAAAACATTCACGGAATAACAAACTACACTTAACTAACCGCAACGATCTGCACCCCGGTTCAGTTATAGTGATTTTAATTACTACTTTTTTCTGTAATGATTTTTTTCTATTAATTTCCAAATTCATTCCCATCATTTTGAATACTTTATAGAGTCCCATGTTGACGCGACATGGACGGGCGGTTCAAAACCAAAATGAAACGCGTGTGAATCAGTCATCATCATCATTTCAGCCTATAAGAAACCACGTCTGAACATAGGCAATCCCCACAGACTGCCAAAACGCACGATCCTGAAGCACCTACATTAATAGATTATTAGTGACTGCATGGATAGGTCCGCTAATGGAAAAAAAATATCATCAACAAATAGTTACAATGAGTGTGAATTTCTATTGTGTCTACGACTTGATAATGGTGAAAAACCCCGTGAAACCAGGATTATTCCCTATTGTTTTCCATTTAAAATAAAAAAAAAAATCGTAACATATTTCAAAGCACTGCACAGCCAAGCAGTTATGCTGTCACATCGTGATTGTCAACAGACTTCTAAAAGAAAGAGGTTCTCAATTCGACTCTTTTTTTGTTTTTTGTTACCTCAGAACTGTCAACTGAGTGACACGTTTTTTTATTCTGGCAGGTTCGCCAAGAGTGCGGTGCGCCGACGACGCTGGACGTATCGGGCCTTTCTGCGCCGACCCCTACGCCCGGGGCCGCCAGACGTGACGCCCTACGAGCGCCCCCACCGGACACTGAACTGCTGCAGTTCGCTGCCACGCTCTCGGCCAGCAAGAAGCTCTTCTCCAGCTTAGCTGATAAGCTGTGCGATGAACCAGACCTGGCGAACGAGGGGAACACCGAGTGTTGGAATGGCGAGTCCGCTGGAGAGTAAGTGTGATATTAGCTCTGTAGCTTGCCTTATTCAATGACTAATGGGTCGGTGCAGCTGTGACTAAGGACCAAGGGTTCGATTCCAACACGGGACAAGTATTTGTGTTACCCACAGATCAGATAACTGTTCCGTATCTGGGTGTTTGTTTCACATCAGGTGGCGGGTTGAAGTCATCCCAATGGCCGGTCGTAAAAACGCAGCCACTAACATCGCCTAGGTGATTTAAGCGAAGGATGATTTACGTTCCACGGCTGAACAGAATTCTTACCTTTTCAAACGATAATAAGGCATAGTTATTGGCAGACTTCACACATGTCCAGACCCTTTTAATACCACTTACATACATATGTAGCTGGCAACCTACATAGGTTTCCTCACGATTTTATTTTCACGGACAGCGCGCGGGAAAAACAAAACTGTCTTTATTGTAATTTTTAGTTCTTAATAGGTATAGGTCACACGGTCTTTGAATTACCATGACTATTACTGTTATTTGCGTTTAAAAGCTGATTGATTGTCACTAACACTTTTTAGCAATATCTAATGAAAACGTAAATTGTCTAGGTACACGAAACCGCTTGTGGCTTCGGCGTCCATCAGCGATCAGAAATACAACCCTGAGATTTCCGCGGGCTCCAAGCAGGACTTACGGGTGGCCGCGCTAGGTGACAAGTTGCGACAAGCCAGACAGGTATGTAAGAAACAAGAAATAACGTAATTGTTTTTCTTTCATGAATGGGCAGGCTTGACCGGGGAAAAGCGGCGTAGACATTTTTTTATGTGATAAGATCGCAAGATAGCTGGCGGTTCACCTGATGGCAAGTGATAACCGCCGCCCATGGACATTTGCAACACGCATAAGGTTGCAAAGGCGTTGTCACCAAGTGAGCCCCGGCTACCTGACCCATCAGACGAAACGCAGAACCATTATACTTCTACTTTACGCCGGTCTTCTGTGAGGTTGTGGTACATCCCCGGACGGACCTGCCCATTCGTACATCAGCGAACTGACACGTGGCCCTAGCACTGTAAAAACACGTATATCTACGTTTGCGTTTCGGCTTGTTAACGAGGTAGCAGGAGACCTTCAAATATGGTTGGCAAAAGACGATATCGCGACATGATCAACTAAGCTGTCTGCTCCACCATGTTTTATAAAATAACTATAAATATTTTAGTTTCTTCATTCACATTTTGGCTCAGTAGACAGTGTTTACCATTAAAATCTGAAACGAAACCTGATAGCACGCTGGGTAAACCCGTTGAAAAAATGGCTAATCATATTCCAGCCTACACAACGTTAAATAAATAAATAAATAAATATTTTTAGGACACATTCTTTTTACACAGCGTTCTCTAGTCCCAAACTAAGCAATGCTTGTACTATGGGTACTAGAAAACTGATAGACATACTTAAACATACTTTTCTTTACGCAGAAGGCAGATACACTACCGACTACGCCATTCGGGTCGTCATATATAAGGAATATATATTTTTTTAAATACATCATTTTAAGCCGTATATTATTTTCAACATTATGGATGTAGAGCATTTTGTTCGAAAAAATAGTAAATAAATGGATTTTGATCGGATTTCATCAAAATTATTTGTCTGTCCCTCGACCATAAACACTGTAAAGTATTCGAAACCAATATACACGATGAATATACAGTCATCAATAAGTTATTCGAATTTTCAATGATGCGCGTCGGTGAACATTGCACCACTTTTTAGACGCTATCAAGCAATCACTTAATCTCGTTAACTTTTATAGCTGCGAGGGATAAATAAACTTTTTGTGCATGGTAATAACATGATATAATATGATCTTGAACCGGTTTGCGAATTAGACACATAAATTAACGATGCTGCATTACATGTCAGTATGAAAGGTGTTATTACATTTAGTTTTTGCTAGCTCGGCTTCCCGCACTTTTTGTTAAATAGAAGAAGGTTTATGAGTTATTGTCTGGTCGCCGTGCCGTTTTTTTTTGCATTGAAATAGATATTGTATATCTACGAACATTTCGCTATGATATTTTTATTCATTTAAGTTTTTTTTTAAACAATAGACTTACGTACCCTTTGCCTTAATAATGATTGAAACATTTATATAAAGGTTCTCGCAGAAAGATAATGGTAATGAGGTAAAGGGAGTTATCGAAGGGCTATTGAAATGTCAACGATCCTGAAAAATAATATATACCTGTTTTGTTTATGCCATATTTCTAGTAATTTTGTGAACTTACCTTATAAAGATAAAATAGTACATTTCTGCGTTACCCTTATGTTATCCTCAAATAAGATAAACATATCTTCGTTTCTTCCTGTTTTATTCTCTTGAGATATCTCCAAATTTATACGTTTTGTTGAAGCTGTCTACACATGATACGTGAATCAGATCTCTAAATAAAATGGAGAAAAGTACTTACACTAAGCTGTAAACAAATAAAGAAGCTTTTCAATTTAAACAACCTACGAATTCATGCATTTCATTTCATGAGTTGTCAACATCAATTTCTATTACATTGTGATATTCACCTGATGAGATTTCATGTGAGATTTCGGCATACATACCCAAATTTCTTACAAAATACAAAAATTTCTTCCAAACCACCTCGATGTCCATCATTCCACAACAGCGTCATTTTCACTGCATTACCTGGCTTTCCGAACCGTTACGACCTGGGAACTTTTAAGAAGAGAGCAAACCCTTTCCTAAACGGCCGGTAACGCATTTGTGAGCCCCCGGGTGTTGCAGGTGTTCATGGTCGGCGGTAACCACTTACCGTCAGGTCAGCCTCCTGCTCGTGTGCCCCTTTCTCCCCATAAAAAAAATCCTGTTAGGAGCGGACTTCCAACGATGTTTGTTTCCCAGTTGCTGGTCGCCCACTCGTGGGGCAGTGCCCCAGCAGCCGAGGCGTTCATGCAGGGAGACGAGGCCGGCGACGAGGGCTCGGGCTCCGGCCGCAGTTACACCGACGACGACGCCGCCTACGACGCCGAGGGCTCCGGCGAGGAGGGCTCCGGTGCGCAGGACGTCGGTGAGTACGGGATTGTTTACCACGTCGTAAGGGTCAATGACCTCGCAATGCAAGGAGGACTGGCGTGGTGGCTTCTGGTGTGTGCGGATCGGTTACACATAATAATAGTTCAATGACCTCACGAAAAAGCCGATCGAAAGAATTATCGATCGTTGTAATGTGCGTAAATCTGTGGAGAGGGTTACCACCGTGATATTTTAGTCGGTGGCGAGTCCGTTACAACTCGGCCTTCCCAAGCGAGGATACCAGATATTAAATACGAATTTCCCTATGGTAAAAACAGATAGCATCAATGCCATTTTAACGTGTGTTAGAAGGCTAGAGACCTTTCATGTTCCTTCTAAACCAGTATCTTTTCCAGCTTGGAATCATCAGGCTGATAATGATTTATTTTATTTTATACATCTACTTACAAATATGTTGTAACTATACTTGATAATATGCAGTGCCTATTGCAGCTGTATATTTTTAATCTTCCGTGTTATTTTAATTTGTGTGAACTATTAGATTTTCTATTACAATCAGATAGTAATACATACATTGCTCTGACGGAGAATTGTAGCATAATGTATGCAATGTAAACAATTTTAACTGAAGTCGTTAATTACAATTAATGTGTAAACTTGATACAGAACCATACAGAAACTGTATGGAACAACAAACTTTAAGTAAACTCCGGACGGTGCATGCGAAAGCATTGCAAACGTAAAACTAAATAGAAAGTAAGATACATATGCAGCATACGTATATAAAGAATAGCTTTACGTATTTGTAAAAAAAATGTTTTTATTATCAATTGTATTATTATTGTATTATATAGATTGTAAATATAAAATATAAGAGAAAAAAGGGCCAAGCATTTTTCGAAAGTCTTTGCTGGAAATGTAGTTGACAATGATCGTACGAACGATATCGAAAAAATCCATACACATATGATAAATACCAACATCCATTTTTTCATAATCAAAACCAATCCTCCCACAAAATGGACCCGTTCAGAACTCTTTATGGTTCTTAACGCGTATAACGAGAATACGATTTTAAAAAATATCTTTCTCTCGTGTCACTGCCGTCTTATGTGACGATTTTATAAACAAACATGAACTCCACCGCAACAGGTAGCAGAACGTTCGTCAGCGAGGACAACACGTATTCGTCGACGGAGAAGACGTCGGCGGCGAGTGTGTCGCGGCCGGCTCTCGTTCCACTGATGGGCTTGGCGCTCGCACGCATCGCCAGCTGCCTGGCTTAAGCCGATACGCCGAGCCTGTCACCCGGCCCCAGAGAGCCCGCGCCAAATCAGCGTTTCGGACCTCCGACCTTAGTGTAGTGCGACAAGACACGCGACGAATCTCGAGAACTACGAATTGACCCGTAGAATGGACCCTTCGGCAGCTAGTCACGACCGGCGCTAGTCCGTCGCAAGCTTTCTGGTACACAGAGTACACGATAGGTAGGGTGATCCGACTATTGAATCTCTATTAGTGCAAACTTGAGAGTTCTATATCAGTCAAAAGTCTGCAATTGTACAGTGCATATCATGTGTTTACTATATATTATTGTTTTCTCTCTCTTTTTTTTATATTTTCCCTTTTTGTACATAACTTTCTAAATTTACGTAATAATAGTTATATGATATATTTTTCAACAGAAGCTTTTACTTCTGCATTTAAACGCGACGTTACTCTGAAACATCGCGATAATACGATATATTATTATTTAAAGAATCTTTAATAATTGTTAAATAATAGCTGATTGGCAATAATTTTATTATGAGAAATGTATAACGAGTAGTGAGTGTTTACAGTGTAATAAGGGTCTCGTCTGTACAGAAGTGTAAATACCTAAAATCCTACTGGTCTAGGTGCTTAGCTAGGAAACATATTTTGTTGCCATATTAATGTTACGAATATTATAATTTATGATATTATTAAGTCATAATTTAATCGAATAATGTTATGTGATACAGAATTAGTATTTTAAGTTGATGCAACGTCTGCGTCGCGTACTTTAAATATTGTAATATTCTTCGAAAGAGATATGTTATGTATTATACTATCAAATATATTAAAAGAAATGGCAATAAATATGTGTAGTGAAAATTAACTGAAATATTTATTGAGGGCCTATGTTGAAATACGCTGTCGTATTAGAAACATTTAAAAATAAATAGGGATGTTACATCCTTTAATTAATATTCACCTTCTTTATGTTAAATAGTGCATTAGGAAGCGAGTAAACAAGTTTTCGGAATGAAACTTGAATGGATTAGGAGTAAGTTTCACGTAGTAACAAAAGACAAGCTATTTAACTGTAAGTTTTCTGCGTTTTTATGTTTTGTATATAAAACTATAGTGCTTGTTTTTCGCGATATAATAAAACCGAATATACGTAAAATTTATATTATAAAAAACACTATGCTGTTGTAGGCGATTTATATTACTTGTACACACGTGGAAACATTTAAAATTTCTGTCCAGGATATCCTATGAAAAGAGACGGATATATAGAGAGTTTAGGATGGACGAGACATTTGATTTGGTTAAATAAGAAGTCATACGTATCTAAGTATTGTCTCTACTTAAAAAATATTGTTATTAGACAAGTTATTTGTCTTAACTTTAGCGTATTAAAAAATGTAAAAAAATAAAAAAAATATCAGTGCTTTGTGATGTAGAAAAGAAACATCATTAAATGATGGTCATTAATGATATTTACATTTTCTTGTAAACCTACAGTGCTGAAATAAATGATTGGTTTCTTCAATTTACGTAAAAAATGTTCTCTTTATAAGCCGTGATCTATTGCACCACGCATTTGAACAACATTCAAGTATAATCAATTGATTTGGTTTAGAAATGAATCAAGTATTAAGACATGATGGCACATGTAGTGCCTAGAAATGACATAATTTGAAGAGTTGAAAACCCGAGAAAATGCTTTTTATGTTATACTTACCGTAGACAATAGTACGTTAAGCAATTTTCTGGACTATTATTAGCTTTCAAAAAGGTAAGCAATAATTTGTCATCGGTAAGTGAGCAAGAATCCATCTGGAATCGTTTTGTAAATATTATTGGACAGATAGTGTGTTTATATTATGGAAATAAACTCTGTACACTAAGCGATTTGTTTTATTTATATAAGTTAGGTCCTAATTTCTTATTTTTTAAGGTAATGGATGTCTCGATAAAAAAATAATTTCTACGACATGTGAACTTCAAAGAAGCCTATAGAGATTCTATTTTTACCGAATATGGTACGAAAGCTTAATAAATCCTAAACTGATTGTATGCAATGCTCTCACTTTCTGCTTACTTCTATATCCGTTATTAATGAGAATTATGATGTTATTTTATACCATATTAACATATATCGACGAAGTGTTTTCTACTACCACTTGTTCCTAAGAATTAATACTATTGTTCACTGCTCTAATAATTATATAATAATCTTTTATCCTCACCTTTTTTTTGTATTTACCGACTTTCTATATTAGCATTTCAAAAAATAAATAATTAAAACCACTAAATAACTATAATAACATATATTCAAGAATCACACTGACGTTGAGTGTTTACCAAAGCCCACAGATCTGTGTAGTTATGGATATGTTTCCAACCTTAAAGGAGTCTGCTCCGGTTACCTCACTCACCCGACCAAATGGTCAACTTAACGTCTAACTTTTTAGGTTTTGGTGCTTCCAGAAGAACCTGACCATTGGTGCAACAGAAGCTGCTATGCGGCCCCACCACAATTAAATAAACTCTTCGTAGGAAGTAGTAAACTCTTCGTTGAATTATCACGTGCTCAGCGGTGAAGTAAAACATCGTGAGGAAACCTACGTATTTTAGAAATAATAACAAAAATAAAATAATTCAAAGATGTGCGCATTCTACCAATCCACAGTGGGGCCGCGTGGTGGACTATGCCCTGATACCCTGTACAGAGGAGGCCTTTGCCCAGCAGTGGGGCATGTATAGGCTGATACTTTACTTTTCGTAGAAATAAAAAGGAAACGTATACAACTTCGTAGTACTAGCGCTCAGTACTCAACGTGCATATGCAAAATGCAACAGAGTGCAATAAAGGCGATGGCCTCGTTTCGAAATATTTTATTCATGCGGACCATTGTCTTGGGCTCGGGCAGCGTCATAACTCCGCGCTCAGCTATTACGCAGGCGACTGTACTTTGCATGTAGACCCATGTAATTGTATTCGCGTTGTCCTAGTGACGGAACGAAACAGTATGTTGTCAAATAAGGGAATACAACTTGGTAATTTTCAACTTAATTGTAGGTATTTATTTACGATCACAAATAATTTCTTTGCTAAATTATTTAGACTATTACTATATATTTAGACTATAGCGACAACGATTGAAGTAGAGTAATATTTATAATGTACAAATGTATGAGTCGTTTTTAAAGCCTTGAGGCTTATGAGGTACACCCCAAAGACCCCCAGATTAAAAAGGATTTTAAACAAAAGTTTTGTGTAGCTTAGTTATAAGCGTTTAGGTTATTTATTGCTTAGTTATTTGGTTAACAAAATTAAATTCTGTTTCCGTACCCAAAGGGTAAACGGGACTCTATTACTAAGACTCCACTGTATCTCTGTCCGTCTGTCATCAGGCTGTACCTCAGGAATCGTGATAGACAATCGAGACAGTTGAAATTTTGACAGATGATGTATTTCTGTTGCTACTATAACAACAAATACTAAAAAACAGAATAAAAAAACATGTATCCCATACAACAGACGTGATTCTTTTTATCGTTTTTGTATGTAATGGTACGGAGCCCTTCGTGTGCGAGTCCGACTCGAACTTGGCCGGTTTTTTTAATTCGCAATAGCTGGCTTTTTTCGGTACATTTTAATATATATAAAAACACTGCTGTTCAATAGCTATGGTGTAAAAAATTTCAAGGGCTACTTTTTGTGTCTTGTGAACACAAACATATTGAAGCTAAATTTTTATATATAAAGATTTGCGTAGTTACTAAAAGAGCCGTGTCCTATGCATCCATGACCTATAGTTCAAAATGGTACAGCACTGTTTATTAAAATTATATGTTTCTTGTGCTGAAGACTTTGAGATTAATTCCATGTACAGTACTAGCCTATGTTACAGGCAGATTTAAAACAGGTTAGAGAAGATAAAAACCATCTATTATCTATTCTCTGTGTCAAGTAACATTGGTCGTGGTTCCCAGTGTCCGAGTGTATATTACAAACTGAAAGTAGCCCTATCGAGTACCGACTGGAATCACTCAAGCGCTCCGTATCTCAGACGATTTTTACGCGTCATTTGCCGAGCGGGCGCCCAATTTGTACAATTGCTCACCTGATACATAAAAGACCGCTTTTTTCCCTACGTGTATCTACGGTGATTTGTTAAATAAACGATAACGGGCTGGTTCTTATGATAAATATGCGCGTCGGCCCATTCGAGGTCAATGACACCCTTTTTGTTTGATAATTTTTTTGGACAAGGTGGCTAAGACTTACAGTTTTTTTTTATGTGAAAAATTGTCGAGCGAGCTGGTGATTCACATGATAATAAGTGAAGACCGGCCATGAACATCTATAAGACCTGAGGGCTTGCAGATCCGTTGAAAACTTTTCAATCAGTGGGCTCCGGTTTAACTGTGATAGGACCACGCATCAGTGTTCGCTGTTGCACGAAGGGTCCGTCCGGGTTAGTACGGCCTCACAGAAAACCGGCGTGAAGTAGAAGTGTCACACTTCTGCGTTTCGCCTGGTGAGTGAGGCAGCCGGGGCCCACTTTACTAAAAGGTGACAACGCATCTGCAACTCTACGGGTATTGCAAATGTCCATGAAACGCCAGCTCGATGCTACTTTGTTACGCTAAAAAGAATCCACTTCACGCTGGGCTTCTGTGAGGACCTGGTACTTTCCCAGATGAGCGTGCCCAATCGTGCAACAGCAGAAGCTATTGCCACCCATTGACATGTTCAACAGGCGTGGGGTTGCAGTTGCCATCCTCGTAGAGGACTCCGGTTACGTTAAATAACAGACGATAGGCCAAACAGAAATCTTCTAAGTTAAGTGATTACCGCCACCAACCGACGCCTGAGTGTTGGCAGATGCGCCAACCTTTAAAGAAGTAGGGCCCGGTGTTTACCTCACTCATTAGAAGAAACGCAAAATTATAATACTTCAACTTCACACCGGTCTCCATAAGGTCGTGGTACATCCCCGGACGAGCTTGCCCATTCCTGCCC